AGGACTATCATGGATCAATCAGTCATTTTTTAGTGGTACATACACTGATCGACGAAATAACGTTTCCAAAGAAATCATCGACACTTAGGATTCTCAACCTTGTGGTGTATGGGGGCTTGGCAAGGAAAGAATATAACACGTGTCGTCTGATCTCTCACAGACATTTAATTAACAACTGTTTAATCTCCTTCCCGGAGAGTTAAACAAACATATCACAAGAGTTAACTCCCCTGTACTGTAACTGTCACATTGGTGTGGTTTTCAGTTATATATGTATCATATAAATATTTATATTTGATGATTACCAGACATGTAGTTATTGAATTCAGTGTTGTAGAATACATTTTTCCTCTCAAACCGAGAGTTATAGAACCTGGAAAAAAATAGTTAACAGTTACAATTAAATACATATGCATGTCAACAGCATTCATGACTCATATAATCACATATGACAATTTTCAATTGCCCATATTAGAATGGCTTGTAGAGTTTAGTTATTAAAACATTTTATTAAAGTCAGAAATATGTGTGGTTCATATCAAATCTTAATAACAAAACGATCCTCAGAAACATATGAAGGCAATACATAATAGAACTGATGTACAGATAACTATGTGATGTTAGGTTAACTACCTTCAAAAAAACACCGGAAATAGTATACAAAATAGTGAAGCATGAAAAAAACTACACTAACAAGAAAAAAACATCATCCACACATCATTTCATCAATTTTGCTACACTGTTCTAAAATTTCCACAATTTCACACCATTCTGATGTCAACAAAATGTGTCTAACACTTCAAAAATTCAGTATAAATTAAATTTGGAAACTTATAGAAGCGTAGATGTCTTTTACATACACATGGCTTTCAGAGACTTATAAACTCATTACATTTGAGTGTCATGAACAACTACAATCAAGTTTTTAGAAACTTACTGACAAATTAAGCAACACTCCACATACATTGATGTTATATCAACATAACATAATATATGAACCAAAACCTGTCAAACAGTTTCTATAGGAATAGCACCGGTCATATTTAAGATTTACATTCAAAGTACATCCAGCAATAATAAAATCATTTCAACTGTAAAACTATTCAACTTCAAATATATAAATGTTTAAATTATGTAATTTCATGTATAAAAAGGTACATCACATTAAAAGGACTGTTATCACAATTACAACTGAAATATGACGACCAGAATTGAACAGTCAAGGTACATGACCTTGAACTTGAGGTGCTGGCTGTCTAGAATGGCACACATGGGATGACGAAGCGGTACTTTAGACATATATTGTCCCAACATACGTGTCAACTGTTCAGTCTGATGCTTCAGTTCACTTAACGCAGAATCCTCCAGACTATCTTTCTTCTGTGCTGCTGCGATAACACGTGTGTGGTCATTTTGTCTCCATCCTGAAGCCTCGCCAAGCTTTGCTTGGGTTAGAGCTGTCATGATGTCTTTTGGTGCTCCAGCGCCTACAAATAGACGTTGTTTATCTGGGAACCTACTGATAAACTAATATTTCAGGTTTACCATGCATAGTTCCTTTTTTCCAATACATTGGAATGACTATCTTCTATTGGCTGAGGGTCTTCCAAGTTGAGGTTAGAAAAAATTCCATTTCAAGGAAAAGGGTTGGGATTTGGCCATTATTGAGGAAATAACAATGTTTAAACATATCCCGTACATTTAAGTTATTGAACCAAGGAATGGCTGACCCACGTTTATGCAAATGTCATTCTGATTTTGAATTTTTGCTTACGATTCAAATTGCAACAGAAATTTCTATGCATTCTCGTTTCATCATTGTCCACATGAAATGTGACATGTGGATCACATAAGAGAGTGTCTCTCTCTAATCTTTGAGAGGAGTTTTCAATCTGTATTGCAATTGGAGTTCGCGTGCTGTTGATTACGACAGGACCACAGGATTTAGTATATGAAAGATATAATTTGATCAGAATTTCCGCTGCGCTCCATGTGGGGAAAAATGGTACCGACACAACGTTAAGACTACCGATACAACGGTAGGACTATCATGGATTAATTAGGTAATTTTCTTAGTGGTACATACACTGATCGACGAAATTATGTTTCCGAAGAAATCATCGATACTTAGGATTCTCTGTCATGTGGTGGTTGAGGGCTTCGCAATGAGAGGAGTTAACACTTGACTTCAGACCATTTCGCAGATATTTCATTGACAACTTTTTAATCTCCTTCCTGGAGAGTTCAACAAACAACACCAGAGTTAATTCAACGTACTGTGACTGTCACATTTGTGTGGCCCTCAATTATATATGTATAATACATACGCATGCTATACATAACAGATTAGCTACCCGCTATTAACGACAATGAATGAGCTAAATGTAAATCGACAATTATAGATATTATCTTATACTAGTCGTCTACTTGGTGATTTAGTTTAGATCCATCAAGAGAGGTTGTTTATCCTGTGTTAATGGATAAGGCCGATTTCAGAAAAAAAATCAACTGGTGCATCATATATATGTTTTGGAAACCATAAGGTATATCGTTGTATAGGTTTTAACAACACACACAAGGAAATTAATATATACACTAAATATTTTAGGGGGTATCTTCTTTTAAGAATGCAGTTGTGAAATTTCAGAAACAGAAGCGGCAGGTTAAGAGAAAATGTTCGTAAACAAATATATTGATATGTATTCGACAGAATTAATTCATGAGGAAACATCCTACAGGTATGATGAAAGCATAACATACTGAAGTTAATCACCAACTAAGCTCTATTCAGTGAGCTTAACCGTAAAGATTGACAGGAAAAGACATTCAGGAATTGCAGGAATTATGTAAAGGATAAACAAATGTAAAAAAAAAATATAATATATTGTCATTGTTAAGAAAACAAATCGGATATTGATATGAAAATTACCTCTTTGTATATTTCATTATAGTTGTCAGTGTTGTGGAATAACTCTATTTCTGAACATGGATACTCTTTAATAAAGCTTCGGTGGACGACGTGTCATTAGTACATCACACTTGCAACCGCCTGATCAGGATACAGAGTAAATATAAAGTAATGATAAAAGATTAGTCTATATCTTGTTACGTAGATATGAGACAATGATATCTTTTTTGTACCGATAGCACTTATTTTTCATTCTTAACTTCTATATCGAGTTTCCTAATTTTGATAACCTTTTTAGTAAACTATTAAACATACATTGTACACTCTGTAAGTTTTTACGAAGAACCAGCATAAACGTGACTTGATGGGATGTCATGCTGGGGGCTTACGTCTGTATATTAAATGGCCACAGCTGGTGATAGAACGTTAAACGATATAAAGCAAAAGTAACCGAAGAATAACGATCTTATTCTGAACTACACTGGGACTGATACAAAAACCATAATGATCATATAAAATTTATCATTTGGAAGTGACTTTGACATATTATTACCAGACCAAAGCACTTCCGAAAGATTAAGGTATTATGACACTGTAACGAATCGACTTATATTGACAAAAAAAAAAAAAAAATGACCGCCATCGCAGTAATCTCTTATGCTACCAACAGTGTTGCGATCTAATCGTTAAAGTGTCATTACCGTATTAGTTTCGGACCCCTTAAGAATCGTGTCTCGATAGCTAAGCTACATCGATCAATTCTAACCAAACAGATAGATCAATGTACGTAAATGTATTCAAGATTCACGATCTATTCACTAAACTTATTGACACACTAGTGTTTTATCTAAACAATACGTGATTAAGATGGTTACCTGAGATACAATATTGTTGTTGTACTTGGAACATACGTCATAGAAATAATCGTGTTAAAAAAGTAAGATAAATTGAACCACATTGTACATGTATTGCAAGATGACCTATGTATAATGTTAACCGCCATCCCATGTTGGCGAATCTAACCATGTTTGAATTAAAATAAATTTCAAAATTTTCAAAAAATTGACGTTATTTGATCCCTTTTGGCCATGGACCTCAATTCACAATTTTGTTTCACCTCTGGCCAAGGAAAGTTTATACATTAGAAATAGTTCAAGGTTCAAGACACCCTTTGAATTCGGGTATAATTATCAAGTCATTTCTAAATTCGACAGCTACTCCATATTGTGAATTGTCCGGTTAAGAACAAATTATTGGAAAAACCACAGAGAATTGTTCTCCTTTGGAACATCACTTACTAATTACTTAGATTGACCAAGGTTTATATCACAGGTACCGTCAATTAAGCGGATACACCTTATCTTATTCTCCCTGTAAACGAGCAAATCTTCTTTATTGTTCATGTTTTGCCCTCGTTTCATCGAATTAAAGTTTGATTCAGATGTTGGTGGCATCACGGTTCGTCGTTTGTTGTTTATAAAGTGTTTTCAGTTGATTGTTTTACATCCGTTATAGACTTAATGTGTGTATGATGGAACTTACACATATACACTTACACTTTGCTTCGGCAATTTTCTATCACTGGGCTATTAGCTACATATATTTTTAAGTAGCTTGGTAAAATAATTATGAAATCTGCTAATGAATAATCATTTGAATTATATATAGATAGCTGTCGTCAAAAAGTCTAAAACAGACCAACAAAAAAGTTTAAAGTATAAAAAAACAAAACTATGCAGTTATGTCATCACATAAACACACACTTAACATGTGAGTGAACATTTTATCATGCGAATGTTAAACGGGGAAACTCTTTAACACTGAGATGTGAACTATAGCACAACGAAGTATCTAGTGTATAAAACGCTAGTCATCAGATCACTATTTGGAAGGGCTGTAGTGAAGTCGTAGGAATCCACCTGAAGACGATGTTATAACAAAAACACCAACGTCATGAATCACCAACAAGACAATGGCACCAACGCGCGCTGTTATTGGTTAGTTCTCTTTCATGAGATGTATTTTTTGTTTCATCCATTTTGTAGCTAATAACAAACATAATTCCGAGCGAGTTCATTACATGCTAGGTTTGTCAGTTAGGCATGATATCTTTAGGGTAAAAACAACCCCCGTTTTTCCAGATCCAGGCAGCTATATCAGGATACGTTCCATTTGCGTGTTTTTCTGTGTTAAGTTTCTCACACAATCGACATATTGCCCTCTGGTATGTTGACGTCTTTGGTAAAACGGTATATTGGTTTTTACGCTGAAGAATTGCCCGATACATATCCCGATGTCTGTCTAACTCAATGATATAATCAGCCAGGTCCTTAACTGTAGTGAAGTCGTTTGTATCAATGTACGTCCCTTTTGGAAGGAACGAGCTGTAGTGCGAACCGCCCCGAACCACGGGCACAATGTTTTCAGTATAGGGTATAAAGGCTTTCTCTGTTATATAATCTGTACAAAATGAATTTTCAAAAGCCAAAGTAAATTTGTGTTCTTTCGCCATTTTTTGAAAACATATTTCCGGTGTTTCCCATTCACCACAGTAGTAATTACCACACTTACCAAACTTGTTGATGTCGTCAATGTAGTCCTTCAGATAGTTTACATAACTGTCCCGGTCACTAGCCGCATTGCAATGTGATACTGCCCAAGCAATAGCGTATTTTTTAGATTTTAAAATATGAGTGTAATTACGTTCATCTTTGACATCGGTCTTCTTTACAACTTCAGAATAAGGAAAATAAATATCTGAATCTTTCCGATATGTCATTGTCCAATTAAAGACGGACTTCCAAGCCGGAAGTTTGTAATTTGGTCCATAATGCAATGGACTTTCCAAAGCAAGCATCACCCATGTTTGACCAGGCGATCTAATGATAGGAATTCTGTCAAGCGATGGTCCGTGGAACACTATGACGTCACTATTACTGCGAAGGTATTTGTCAATACTCCACTGACAATTGTTGAACTTGCATTGTTTTGGGTCCGTTCTTTTGTACAAATCAACCAACCATGGAGGTGGGCTGTGTAGTGACACCAGAAACGACTTGCTAATGGACATCTTATGTCTTTTTTCAATCTTAAATCCTTGTGAAGGTTTTGTAACTGTATTATAGGTAAGAGGAGCTATGAAGAGGTTTAAAAACACAATGACACACACAAACATCTTCACTAAGTAGCGCCATCTACAGAATAGTCCATTGATACCTGAAACATGAATATAAAAAAAACATAATTGAGATAGGTGTGTTATTTGGGGGAAAAATAAAGAAAACAAAATCTTGTATTAATCTTGCAAATGCACTAGTAGAAGCTTTAAGCTCAGCATCGCTGGTGATATTGGAAACTGTTAGGTTAGGTTTTACATTGTATAGGGTTAAGCCATAGATGAATTGTACCAAATGAGTGAAAATAATTAATAATAAAAAAGAAAACAGAAGAAAGAGAACACGAATATGATATTCGTCATGGACGAACTATTCATCTGTATGACATTTCAGCGATGAAAATCTAAAAATTAAGAGAGAGAAAAAAAACCAACAACTGAAACCTGCCTAGTGTTATACTGTAGAAATGGACGATTACTTGCTCTACAGTTTTCTTTATTTCATTTAGCAATTAATACTGGAGTGTTTATTATGGTTAGAAAAAACCGTAAAAAACGTCTTTGAACAGTGGTTGAAATTTAGGTATGACACATGCCTACCATATACTTTGAGGAATGAAATATCTGCCTGAAAAACAAGAATGTCAGGTTTGTACTTTTCATATTTTTTTTACTTAATCTGAATTCCGTTTGTTATGTTCGATAGGTCCATAACATAACTTTTACATAAATACTATTTTTGTATAAGATGGTAGAATAGTGAAAATTGTCATTTTTTTTTCGAACATTGATTGCAATCATAAACAACATTGTTCAATATAAGCATTGCCACGTTTTGCTGAATTTGATCAATTAACCGAAACACGAAGGACTAGTCCACAATCCTTACATACATCAACACTACTTAAACACGTTTTTGTGTAGATTAAAAGAGCATAAATAAATGAAACAATGTTTCTGATAGAAAACAGCTAATGAGAGGCGTAGTGTGTGTCTACAGAATTTTCTCTGAAAGAGAGAGGCTTTGAGAAAATTCGAAAGCTAAACATCACATATGAATTACTACATTGAAACACATTATTACACACAGTTACGATTTACCATTCCATGCTACCAACTTGTTTAATGGAGATAACATTTCCATGAATTCATTTTCATAATGCTTAACTTTAAGTTGAATATAATCGGCACATATTTATATATAGAGGTTTCCGCGATATATCAGTAAGTATTGGCGATGCTACATTCGTATATGTCAATCTACAGAAACAAAATAATTTTGTCAGCAAATTGTTTATAGAAATATTTAAATGGAAGCATCATCAACGAAACAAAATTCTACATCACACTTTTATATCTACAGTTCAAAATGACAAACTGGTTGTGGTGCATGCTTCGTTTTAAATTATTCAAACAATGACATGATACAGAATATACACAGCTGTACTTGACGTTTGAAATGATCAGATATATATATATAATTATTATATATTTATAATTTATTTCAGAGACTATGGAAGGTAGCTTTAGTGGCATGATCTCCTTTTTCAAAACCTGATATCACCAGGTATCCAGGAACTCTTCGTAATACTTATATGTAAGTACGTGAAGTTAAACTTTGCACATGAATTAATGTGTTAAGCCGCGATCAAGACCGGCTGATACTGATATTAAGGATAAACATAAAGTCGACCTAGACTAATCTTGCTCTCAAAGTCATGATAGCCTATGGAAATACCAACATAACAACAGAACCACAATTCAAACTTCAGTAACTATTCTATAAATTGCATATACATTCTACAAAATGTTAAAGATCTTTGAAATGATGTGTTCAACATTAGACGGCAGAAGCAACAGGGTCGTAATCCAAAGTCAGATTTTATAAAATAAAGCAAATCATGAACAATTCTTGACAAAAAGTACAAGGTGAATGGCATTAGGTGTTCATGAAGAGTAGGCGTCTTTTGCTTCATAGACGACACCTGCCATGTAAATCTAAATGTAAGTCCAGCTTCATATGGCATAAGGAATTGAACATTTCCCAATGAGATCATTATAATGACAGTCCTTCCCCATCATTTTGCTTTTGAAAGAACGTGCTATAAGTTTGTCTGTCAGTTACCAAAATGTTGCACACAAAATGTCGATATTGAGAATAAATTATCGAATAACTGCGTCATGTAAACAGCATAGGTTGGATATGAAGGGATGTTGCTCTCCGGAAATAGAAAATTAACAAATAGGAAAATAGATTCATCCCGCTTACCATATAGCTTGGCAAAAAGCTGTTCCTGTTGATTTCGTTAGAGGAAAAGATCAAGATAAGCGGTTGATGTTAATATAACATTAATAGCAGAAATTTAAGCCGTCATTACATATAAAAATCAACAGCATAAGTAGTAACTATATTTGTGTAGGATGACTATTTCTGTCGGTATGAAATAAAAATCTGATGATTTTCCCTCTGACTGTAAATCAGAGAATCAAACATTTTTACTTTTTTGTCGGTGATTAACGAGAGTTTTTTTCTATTTTGCATCGCAAAATATGTTTGTCAACTATGAATGAAATCGAAGCTCAACATAACTGTGACTTAATGGTAGATCCGGGCAATTCATGATGTGATAAATTGGCAACTTTATTCATCTATATGTTTTGTATCACCTCACCTATAATTCATTACCGCAGCCGTGTAGCAAAATTTGCTTGTTTGTGATAAAAACGTTTTGTATAACACAATTCGCTGACCGCTTATCTTATTTAAAGGAGGTTAACGTCTCAGTATGAAAAATGAATAGATGCTGAAACGATATGCAAATTAGTATGCATAGACTCATAATTGTCAATTTACCTATAACTCATACACAAACTCATCTGACGTACATAGCTATCATTTAATAAATATGAATGAAACTTAAGCTAATTTACATAAAGTTTTACTTTACATAGCATAATTATTCAAAGAGGTGGGCCATTCGTGATGGAGTCGACGGGTACTTTACTTATCTATATTCAGATGAGCATAATTTTAGTGATCTATATGCAAAAAGAAGATGAGATGCATGCTTTGCCTTGTATCTTAAAAATAGTACATGTATGTCAACCAGTTCATTTCATTTCTGATACCCGCATCACCCCAACTGAGGTTACATCTAACGGAACCATTTATTTAGAATATTATCTTCTGTAGAGACATATGTACCAAGGATAGTCACCCAACAATTATCAACTTAATGAAAGGATACAAACGTCCTTGTAAAAGTGTTTCTACTGTTTCCAGTAGAGAGAAATACCGTGGATAATTTCTTTATAAAGATTTATAAGAGACACGTAAGTTAATGGTACATTCTGGAAATTTAGAGTGAGATACAGTAGAGTCCAAGAAATGAATTAACCTGCATCATACTGCTGTTTAGTTCTTCTAGGACTCTTCAGTGATACTGAGCGCCTAAACTATCAAACAGACATCCACATATATTTGTCTGATAATAAATAATTACCATTAAAAATTAAGCAGATAGATACTTTTGAACATTTGCTATCTACCAAAAAAATAACTATGGAAATATCTTATTATTATATCAATACCGTAAACAAATTAACGGGAAAACCCCCCGAAGTAGCCACCATGCAAAGAATTGGTGACCGTTTGTTCAAACAAAGCGACAGGTAAGCGACCAGAATCATAGAGCTGGACGAATCTGAACAGAAACATTGAACACATATCTTCAACTTCTTTTGATATAAACTCTTAAATGATCGGTGTGATCTATTTTAGCGCATAAATGGAATGTGATTGAAATATATATTTTACCTGAAGTTAACCATATTTTCCTTCAGGGTATAGAAAGATTTACAATTATAGCTAAATGAAACACATTACAGTCGTTTTAGTAGCCTTCTAGGTCTAAATTATTGATAAACTTGCACGAGTCCTCGAATTACGAAGTATCATAAGCTTAGTTTATTGTTCGACTTTCCGTACATTATGCTAGATAACAATATAATCATAATCCATACTCAAGAACAAAAGAATTATTTACATGGAAATTCATGAAAGAGTACAAGGAGAATAAGACCAGATGAGAACAAGGTATAAAATAATGGAACCAAAAGCGAAACTAACGAGCATCACACACGTCAAGCTTTATATCGCACAAGGATTTTCCCAATGTGATCAGTATGACGAACGTAAAACTTAACCATAATTTGTTTTGAAGCGTACTTTTCATTTGTGTTCACAGAAAACACACGTTTTCTATAGTAGGTATACTATAAGTCACGCTGTACTTTCAATGTCTTTTTTATAAAGGAAATGTTACTAAACCAGTAAATTTAAAACACAAGTTGCAATAACATAAGTACTAAGATCGACAATAGAGAGAGAGAACTAA